TTCTTGTCCAGCAGCAGCCCTGGTCAGGCTTGATTTTAGTTAGCTGGATGGCCATTTATTACGGGCGTGGCCAAGTTTCCCACAGTCCCATAAAGTTTGTTTACAGCCGCCAGTCCTAGCTCTCTGTTCTGTGCTGTTATTTTGCTCTAATTCACTCCTAAATGTCTTCTAAGAGCCCAAGGAGTCCTGTAGCACCTTATAGACTAACAGGTGTATTGGAGCATAAGCTTTCGTGGGCAAGGACCCACTTCGTCAGATGCATGTAGTGGAAATATCCAGAGGCAGGTATAAATATGCAGGCCAGAGTAAGGCTAGAGATAAGGAGGTTAATTCAATCAGGGAGGATGAGGCCCACTTCTAGCAGCTGATCTGGAGGTGTGACTACCAAGAGAGGAGAAGCTGCTTTTGTAGTTAGCTAGCCATTCACAGTCTTTGTTTAATCTTGAGATGATGGTGTCAAACTTCAGATGAACTGTAGCTCAGCAGTTTCTCTTTAAAGTCTGGTCTTGAAGTTTTTTTGCTGCAGGATGGCTACCTTTAGATCTGCTATTGTGTGTCCAGGGAGACTGAAGTGTTCTCCTACAGGTTTTTGTGTATTGCCATTCCTAATATCTGATTTGTGTCCATTTATTCTTTTACTTAGCGACTATCCAGTTTGGCCAATATTTATAGCAGAGGAGTATTGTTGGCACATGATAGCGTATATTACATTGGCAGATGTGTAGGTGAATGAACCAGTGATGGTGTGGCTGATCTGATTAGGTCCTGTGATGGTGCTGCTGATGTAGATATATGGGCAGAGTTGGCACCGAGATTTGTTGTATGGATTGGTTCTTGAGTTAGAGTTACTATGGTGTGGTGTATAGTTGCTGGTGAGAATATGCTTCAGGTTGGCGGGTTATCTGTGGGCGAGGACTGGCCTGCCTCCCAAGGCCTGTGAAAGTGAGGGATCATTGTCCAGGATGGGTTGTAGATCACTGATGATGCATTGGAGAGGTTTTAACTGAGGACTATAGGTGATGGCCAGTGGTGCTCTGTTGATTTCTTTCTTGGGCTTGTCCCGCAGCAGGAGGCTTCTGGGTACACAGTTGGCTCTGTTAATCTGTCTCCTCACTTCCTCATGTGGGTATCGTAGTTTCAAGAATGCTTGTTGAAGATCTTGTAGGTGTTGGTCTCTGTCTGAGGGGCTGGAGCAAATGCGGTTGGCTGTAGACAGTGGATCGTGTGGTGTGTCTGGGATGAAAGCTGGAGGCATGAAGGTAGGCATAGTGGTCGGTAGGTTTTCGGTATAGGGTGGTGTTTATGTGACCGTCAATTAGTTGCACCGTGGTGTCCAGGAAATGGACCTCCCGTGTGGACTAGTCCAGGCTGAGGTTGATGGTGGGATGGAAGCTGTTGAAATCGTGGTGGAATTCTTCCAGAGTTTCTTTCCCATGGGTCCAGATGATGAAGATGTCATCAGCGTAGCGTAGGTAGAGGAGGGGAGTGAGTAGACGAGAGCTGAGGAAGCGTTGTTCTAGGTCAGCCATAAAAATGTTGGCATATTGTGGGGCCATACTGGTGCCCATAGTGGTGCCACTGGTCTGGAGGTATATATTGTTACCAAATCTGAAATAATTGTGTGTGAGGATAAAGTCACAGAGCTCAGCCACCAGTTGTGCTGTGGCATCATCAGGGATACTGCTCCTGACAGCTTGTACTCCACCTATGTGTGGGATGTTTGTGTAGAGAGCCTCTACATCCATCGTGGCTAGGATGGTGTTTTCTGGAAGATCAGTGAATTGTAGTTTTCTCAGGAAATCATCAACACGCGGCAGTGAAACGGGCGTTCGAAATAAAGCCCTAGTTCCAACTACCTGTTAAATCTCATTGCAGGAGGAATAAGTTACTTCGGGCTGGTAAATTTCAAAAATAGCGCCTGGCCAGGAAGACGCAAATCAAGCGCGGGATATTTAAATCCTGGGTTTGATTTGCAATTCCAAATGCCTACATTTGCAGCCCTTGTTCGAATTAGGCTGCAAATGTAGACATACCCCTAAATACTTGTTATAACTTGTAGCCAGACATGAACCCCATCTTGTTCCCACCCCCCCCCGCTCGCCAGAGAGCAAGAGAAAGGCAGTCAGCCTTTGATGCCCTGGGAATGCAGGTGTGCTGCCTGTCCCTGACTCTATCATAAACAGAAACCAGACAGTAAATGGGCTAGTTGATGACCCAGGGCCTCCTGCCCCCCTGATGGCTAGTAACAATATAAATGGGCTAGCTGACGACCCAGGGCCTCCCATCACCCTGATGGCTAGTACCAGTAATTGACACGCCTGCACTGTCCCAGAAGAGGAATCTTCGCCCATCACAAACCAGAGGTGCCCATTGTCTGCATTTTCCCAGGTGTGAATTATGCTTTGCACCCTTTGTGGGAAACTTGGTGTTCAAAGCCATTTTTCCTAATTGGCCACTTGAGACCAGGAAGAAGCCTACGTGACCCAAGGGGTATAAAGAGGGTTTAGTAGCCCACCCCATTTGAGCTCCAATCATCTATACCTGCTGTCAGGTATTGATTGACTCCCGAGGTCTGTGGGACGCCCAACCTTGCCCTACTTCTTCCCGAGAGATTGAGAGAAAGATGCTGGCCACGCCAAGTCTGGAACGCAGGGTGAGAATATATACCTGCTAGGTGTCTATTTTGCATGCATTTAATAAGAGCTCAGAGAACCAAAAGGGTTTCATGGTACCTGTAAGTGACTTATTAGTGTAATTTCTGTACTGTCCTTTGTAGTGGCAGTGTTATCTGTAACACAGCAGTAGCATTTAACAACTACGTTTACCCTGTAACAATAAAATAGTAACTGTTTAAGCTTTAACCTGACTCCTTCAGTTGCTGTAACAGAACCAAGCACAATTTAAAAGAACTTCAGCCGGTCATAAGGGACTCACTGCCCTGACCGTCGGCTGACATAACTACAGTGCTCATATTGCACAGTCAATAAATAAACATAATTTCTACAGAATGGTTAAGATTCAGTGCACCAGTAACAATCCAGGACCAGGGTATGATCTTTAATGCCACTTTGGTCCTTTCCAGGGCCTTTAACGTAACTTAGGGTACATCTACACTGTGCTGCTATTTTGGGATACGTATCCCAAAATAGCTACCCCATAGCTACACAAGCCGCCTGTTATTTCGAAAAATAACGGGGGCCTGCTATTTCGCCATCCTGGTAAACCTTGTTGTACGAGGGATAAGGGATGGCTTGAAATAGAGCGTTATTTTGAAATCTGGCGCTGTGTAGATGTGCCAAATTTCAAAATAAGCTGTTTCGAAATGGATTCAAGATAAGATACTCAATTTGCATAGCTCAGATTACATATCTTATTTTGAGTTTAGGGTGCTGTGTAGATGCTCAAGCTTTGTGAACAGTAAATGATGTCATGAGAAAAACCAAAACCTTTCAGTACCTGGTGCTAAGTAGTTCAGAGTACCTTTTGCCAGGGACTGATGGTGTGGACAGCCAATAGTAAAAAGGACAAGGAGAGAATACTGGGAGTGTGGTGAAGGAGAACCTAGTCAATAATGGGGAAGGGGCTGAGAAGAAAGCAGAATCTAATTCTTTTCTGTGGCGATCAGTGCACATTTGAAATTTTGCATCCAACTAATGCCTGATTCATCCACTTGTTGAGGAACAACCCAAGCATACATACAGTTATAAAGTACAGTGGCAGATCTAATAGTGTGAGTTTCTATCTCAGAGAATGGATTTGTGAAACCGGTGAACAAACAGGACAGTCATATTTTTACTTCACTGCACTCCATTTACAATCTAATTTTGTAATATTTGTATTTTGAAATGAACATGAGTTTAGATTGTTTTTCAAGCAGCTTCATACTGTGTAGCTGTGGTTTAGTATCATAGATAAAATTGCTCAAGTTGATGGGGCATATTCTTCTCTTTTACATCGGTGCAGCCACATTCAAAACACAAATATCTGTAAATGCCATTGATGCTGTGTTAGTAAAAATTAGTATACCACATGGTGGTAAACCTGTGCGCCACAATTGAGAGTTCTGAATTCTTTATTTCGTAACTATCTCTTTAGTGGCAATTCTCTTTGCCTAGATCTTGTATGATGTGTCAGCCTGGGAGAAAATACATTAAACAAGAAAAATCTAGTCATCTGCCTTTGAGTTTTAAAAAATACTGTAATCAGTGAACAGTGACCACATCAGATTCGTGCCTTCATTCTGAGCCATTTATGACTCCTTGGGTGGCACCCAGGAGCTTTCAGTGGGAGTAGACCTATTTTACCTGGCTCCTACACTGCCTCCTTTCCCATCCCTGGCAAAAGGGAAAAGACATGGACAGGAAGGGCACTGCTGTGCTGCAACTGTTCTCATATGGCTGGCAGCTGCTTTGGAAACATTGCCAGGTTTGTATATTTAGAGCATACAAGGTCAATGTGTGTATGAACTGACTTCTTGAGTCTCCAACTGCAAAGAAATGAATCTCCGCATCAGTGATGAGTGTGGCCAACTCTTTTGAAGTATATATTTTTTGTCCTAAAAAAAACCCTCCCTTTGATCCACCAGTCTTTAAGTTCAGCTGTTATATTGTTTCTAATTTGGTCTTATTCTGAGCTGGCATGACAGCTGAAGATAGTTGTTGTGAGCTTTGTCATTCAAAATTAAAATTAGAGGGAGAGTTTCTCTGATACAGGAGCTTGGCCAGTTTGTCTTTTGGCCTGAAGCTTGACCAGATTGTTTCTTCAAAGTGACAGAAAGTTTAGGCTTATTCTTTGACTTTCTTCATTGATGTTTTTTTAACATCAGGACGCTCCCTCCCCCAACACTTTAAAAATATTCAACGGCATGTGCTTCTGTGTCCTTTCTCCTATGAGTTTTTTTTTTTACAAGGAAGAAGTACACGTGTTTCACTGTACTTGCAGACATTGTGGATTCTACCCTATGGAAATGTCACAGCATATATATCATTCTCTTCCACCAGGGGCTCAAGATCTGGATCGCATCCGTTTATCCACCTACAGAACAGCATGCAAGCTTAGATTTGTACAGAAGAAATGCAACTGTAAGTATGTAATTTGTTAACTGCAAGTACCATCATTAGTTTTACCATGGGTGGAGATTTTTTTTTTCTTCTGGTGAAAAGAAAAAGAGGGATTTATTTTAATGTACAGTTAGGAGACATTAACAAGAACGTCTGAGTATTAAAAGAAATGTAGAATAATTTAATCCTGTTGATTATTCTCAAAGTATTATGTGTGGTAATATTTCTGTTGAGGGGAAAGGTTCTTTAATGGTTCTTTTAAATGTAATTTAAAAAAAAGTTTCTGTTAGCAAGGGGTAGCAAGGTTGACTCACTGCCGCGGTGCCTCCTACTGATTATGTGGGAATTGGCTCTGTTCATTGGAGTGCAGCGCCATCTGGCCAGTCTTGCCTGTCATTCTCTTTGCTCCACTATCTCTACCATCTGAGGCTGGATCAACATCACTCCCTGAACCACAGTATCCTCTTCTGGATTGCCTTCCGGCAGTGCCCATTACTCCATTATTGGTGTCACCTCTCCTCAGTCTACACCTGCCACGGTAGCCAACTGCAGTCCCAAAGTCTAGCCCCTCACCTCAGGGGCAAGCTGCAGTTTGTAAAGGCCACACTTCAGAGTGGCTAGGTGTGGAGAAAGATCCAGGCCCGCCCACTACTCTGGATCCCAACTCAGGGACCCTCAGACAGCAGCTATCTTCTGCCTTCCTTCTCTCCCCTTGACACTCTTGTTCTCTGGGCCATTTCCCTGTGATCCTTGCACTTTCTTGGCCTTGTATCAAGACGTACAGCATGCATGTATCAGGCAGGAGCTTCTCTCCAGTTTCTCTCAACCTGCCCAGCCCTGCTCTGCCCAGGGTGCTTCCTTCCTGTGAGCCAGTCCTGCACTCTTATTGGTCAGGACCCTACTGCCCTCTGCTCTGCTGAGCAACTCCTTATAAACAGGGCTGCTCCAGCAAGCTGCCCTTTGATTGGCCCCCTATAAACATCTCCCTGATTGGAGGGGGTTTGCACAGTCTCCCTCTGGCCTGCCTTAGCCCCCACCCTTGCCACCGTGGGGCAGCCACCCCACTACACAGGGTTATGAAAAATGCCTGGAGCTTTAAAGAGGATTAAAAAAAACCCCACCACTCCATATACATTATGATTTGTTTTGCAGATAGAATTTTTGAGTTTCTCACATGGCCTGTTTACACTGGGTCATGAAAAAATCCCACCGATGTAGCTCCACCAATCGCAACAACAGCTGCTCTAAATGCTTGGACTCCCATAGGAAGAGCTGCAACGGGATGGAATTTTTAAAAGAAATAGACACAACCTATGCAGCTCAGCAGCTTGCTTTTGTGTTAAGCTTGTGAATATTTGTGTTGAAGAAAATCTGCAGCTTTTGGCCCACAATATTGGGAAAAAGCCAATCTGAAAGGCTTTTTTTTGTTTTTGTTTTAAAGGAGTATCTGTAGAATACTCAGGAGGACCACAGGGTTTGGTCCATGTCACAAGTAGGCTGTCAAGTACGGTTTCCTACAGCTACAGTAATTCAGCCATATCTCAGACGTGTTCCTTTCAGAAGGAAACATACAATATATCTAATGTGTTCGTGTTTCCTTTTTTTATTTTTTTGATATGTCAGAGGATGGAATTTTCACTTAATTTCCGCGGTAACTGCACACACTGATCTTGAGTGACAACAACAAAAATCTAATTGAGTTGATAGCTACTGCAAAGTAATAACACTAATTGTGATAACTGTGTCCACGTCAAATGGAAAAGTTCAAGGATATAATCTCATCATATGGAAGACTGGATGGCTATAGGTATTGGTAATAGAACACAGAACCACATTTAGCATTTATGAACTATGTAGTGTTTGTGTGACACCTCTCAATCACTAGTATGAACAAAGTCAGTTAGTGATTAAAAATCAGTACCACTGGATTGTTCTTCAGTAGCCTGTATGAAACGAGTATGTTGTCTTATTTCTGCACACCATTATACAACACCATGACTAGCTCCCTTTTTGGCCTCATAAAAACAGAAATACACTTGTGCCCGAAGTGGGTGAATGAAGAAATAGTCCTGAGGCACTGTGATAGGACATTATGTAGAATATCTACACTGTAATTTAGCAAAATTGTATAAGTGTACCAAAGATTCAAAAATTCAGGTCTCTAGGGCTATCAGTCTAGCAGTATGTATAAGCACTAAGCGCACTTCTAAAGATCATGTGTGGAAAAGTCTTAGGGAGGAGACCACTATTACTCTCTTGTGGTACACTTCATGGATGATATAATGACCAAAATGCTATCTAGCTAGGAACAGTAACACAGGAACAAAGGTCATATGGTGTATTAAATTTTATTTTTATTTGATGTTTACTGGAGAGTGAATGAGTAGGATCAGAGGTCTGAGACAGAAGATCGCTGTTCACCTAGGGTACATCTAGATTACAGGCTTCTGTCGACAAAGAGCGTCTAGACTACATTGAGTTCTGTCGACAAAGCAAGCTGCTTTGTCGACATGGTAGTGTAGACGCAAAGGACAGTTTACATTCAATAACACCTTCTGTTGACAGAAGGTGTTATGCCTCGTAAAATGAGGTTTACCAGCGTCGACAAAACTGCTGAGTTCTGTCGACATAACGTTATGTCGACGTTATGTCGACAGAACTCAGCAGTAGTGTAGACGCAGGTATAGTTTTGTCGACAAAACTCTGTAGTCTAGACACACCCCTATTTACACCAGAATGTTAATGCGGTTTTTACATGTGAACACCTTGCTACAGTGGAATGCTGAAATTCCACGTGAAATTAGCATTGATGTGGAAATCGGTCAGGTGTTCTTGTGAACTCCAAGTATCACTTTTGCAAGAATTAACAGCTGTATACATGTCTAAACCAAAAACCTCCTCACCTCCCCAGTTCGACAGGCTTGATCCAAAACCCACAGTAGTAGCATAAAGGAGGGTAATGATTTGTTTAAGTAATTGTGTCATTTAAAAGCCCTCCCTCATATTTGTACCAAGATCCCAATGTAATTTAGCTCTAGACACAGGCATAAAACTATAAAAATGTTACCTTCAGAATGAAGGTCTGTGTGAAACCATTTCCTTCTCAAACGCTTCAGAAATAATTATTGTTGCTTTGAAATGGTTGAACTGTGCATCTTTCCCCCGTCAAAATAGTTTGCCTCTCTTTTTCCTGAACTTTTACACTACTAGAGTGTGCTGTGATTGCTGGGGGGAGTTAGTTAATTTTCCTGAAACATTTGTAAACTCTGAACAAAGACCATCCAAAATGGAATATCAAGACATTACAAGACTATACAAAGTGATGGTTCCGAAGTGGTTAATAATACAGTCATTTTTGCTAACATTAGCAATTCTTTTCCCCCCATTGAAATTGCTGTTGAGTATGTGCTGAGCAGTAGTCAATTCAGGAGATAAAAGTGAAATAGGGGGAAATGGTTCAGCTATATCTGAACTGCTTCCTTTAAGAGTGGCTATAAAAAGAAAAACTCTACTCCCAGCTTTTAGCAACCCTTGTCACTCAAGCCATCTCTCTTCCTTCAGCTGTGTTCTTCTGCCCTGCCCCTGAATCAGCTGCTCTCTCAGACCAGACGAGGCTTGTCATTGAAAAGAAGAGTGTGTGTATTTAAAGGGCTCTTTTCAAAGAACTAATTTAATAAAGTGCAGGGAGCTGCTGTCAGCTGCAGGCTCAGGGTGTCTGAGGAGCAAAGCAGTGCTTCTCTGGATACTAGAGAGGGCCAAAAACTGTGTGATGTCCCTAAAGAGTGGCAATTGAGAGCTATGTTAGTATATTACTTGGCATAGCTCCTGTCTTTATTGCAGGTAGGCCCTGCATTATAAAAAGAACAAAACAACAACAAAAAACCCCACACAAACTAGTTAGTCCATCTGAAAAAGAAAAAAAACCCTCAAGTGCTTAACAAAATATTTTGTATTAAACTGAAGGACTTCAGGTTTGGGCTTTGGTGCTCTGGAGAGGTGAATTGATTCTCTGTGTGGGGAAAGGGGTCTTAAGCTGAGAAGGACTTGCTGCTGATCATGTGGGCCAACATCCAAAAAGCACTAAACTGCAATTTTGAAGGCCTAAGTCCAAAATGTAGTTCTTTAAAACCCCTACTCAGCTGCCACCTAATCCTATAGAGGGCACCTCTGTTCTCTAGGCACCCATGTTTCTGCCAGTGGGCAGAACAAAACTGACTAAGGCCTGACGATGCCAAGCTGGCACCTCACTCTTGGCTGGATTCCCAGATAAAGTGTTCCCATGCCTCTGTTACTTATGATGCCTGCAGAGCCACAGTGGTCCTAAACTGGCACGAGCTGGGACTCCTCGGTCCTGGCTCACATCAGGTCCAGCAGCCCTTGGTTGCAGTAGCCAGGGCAAGCCATAGACGGTGGCTGCTTTGCAGCAGCCTCTCCTACCTCTGCATACCCCTGCTGCTGCCTTTGATAGAGGCAGCACCGTGGAGATGGTGCTGGGGGGAACCAGCTTTTCTGCCTGATACAGAGGCGGTGGGTTGGGGGTAGTGAGTAGTCGAGTACTCAACTACTCGCTTACATCCCTAAGCCAGACTACTCCCCTATGATGAGGGAGACTCAGGTTCAAATCTTCACTGTTTGATGTCAACTTGGGATTTTAACTTCAGTTTCTGACCTCCCAGCTGTCTGCTGTAATCACTGGGGTTTAGGGCAGTGGTTTTCAAGCTTTTTTGCTCATAACCCAGTTGAAGAGAATTGTTGATGCCTGTGATCCAATATAATTACATCTTTTGACGAGAGTGTGGTCTCTGGGGTGGACGCAGGGATGAAAGGTATAAGGTATAGGAGTGGATTCCAGATTTGAGGGTGTGAGCTGGGGCAGTGGATTGGGGTGCAGGCTTACCTTCAGCAGCTCCTAGTCAGTGGTGCAGTGTGGGTGCTAAGATAGGCTTCCTGCCTGTCCTGGCATGACATGCATGCTACACCCTGGAAACAGCCAGCAACAGGTCCAACTCCTAGTCATAGGG